ATATTTTATAACTTATACCTTTCTTAATATAAAATTAATACTTTTTTAGTTATATTTTATTTACTTTTAGTTTATTTTTATTTACTATTTACTTTTAACTTTATTAATTACTTATTAACTTTAAATCTAATAAGCCTAAGCTTATTTACTTTACTTAGTATTATTATATTAGTTTTTTATCTTTTATATAATATTTTTATAGTCTTTTATTTTTATACTTATTTTAACCTCTTAAGGCTACTTTACTATTACTTTACTTACTAAAGTCTACTTTTAATAATAAATATCTTCTTAATTTTTAGCTTATTTTTTCCTTTTTTCTTCTTTTTCTTTAGCCTTAATTATATATCTTTTCTTTTTTATATTTTATCTATATTCTTATATTATTTTTATTACTTTTTTACTTTCTTTTTATTATTTATTATTTATTTTCTATTTATTTCCTTCTTTTTTTATATATTTATTATATTTTCTTAAAATTTTATTATTTATTATAAATTTATTATAAGTTTATTATTAATTTACTTATTTCTTAGATTTATAATATTATTATTATTATATCTTATTATAAGTTTTTTATTTATAAGCTTATAGTAACTTAATTACTAACTTATATCTTAATTTAATTACTAAAATCTTTTTTCTTAAAAAAAAATAATTTAATAATATAAGTTTATAATAAGTTTATATTAATATTACTAATTCTTTATAAGTCTTCCTCTAATATTATCCTTATTAACTAGTAAGTTCTTTTTAGTTATATATTTATTAGTAGTTTATTACTAATTTATATTTAATAAGTTTTATATATACTTAATATAAAATCTAAAAAAATTCCTAGTTTTATATAAAATATAAATAATATATAACTTATATTATTTTTATAGCTAATTTATTATATAATTATATACTTCTTTATTATTATTATTTTAGTCTCTTAGTTAATAAGACTAAGATATATAATTATATTAAGACTAATAATAAATATAAAAATATTATAAGCTTATTATAAGTTAACTATATATTAAATAAGTCTTAAAAGTATTATTAGTACTAGTAAAATAAGTAAAAAATATATTAACCTTAATATAAATAAATAATAAGTTTTTAATATTTTTTTTATTATATATAACTTTAGTATTATTATATATATTTTATAGTTATTTTATTATAACTTTATTATTAATTTATAATTAAAACTATACCTTACTTACTAAAGATAAGAAGATCTTAAGGAATTATAATAAGGTTATTATAACTTTATATAATAAAAAATATAAAATAGTTATTTTAACTAAGTAGTTAACTTATTATAAAAATATAATAAATATATAGGTTTTTATTATAAAAATAATATACCTTTATATTATTTTTCTTTATACCTAGGCTATAAGTCCTTATTTTAAAATCTATATTAACTTACTACTAACTTATTATATTAGGCCTATATTAGTATATTAAAAAAGAAGCTCTTAGCTATATTAGTATTCCCTAATTTTAAGGAGGAGGAGAAGTAATATTTTTATTATATTTTTATTATAGCTTTATATTAAATTTTTATTATTCTTTTTTAATATAAAATAAAGTTTTAATATTATAAATTTATTTTAAACTTAAAGTA